TCCTGCTGCAAAATCCCCTTGTCCTCCTGCAATAACAAAGACATGCCCCAGCTCTGGGGGTCTCAGTGCAAAGCAATCTTTGGGAGACTCACCGCTCTCCGTGCACAGGGCTACGACGAGCACGACAAGAAGAGAAGTCTTCATCCTTTATAAGTCTCGCAGCTTCCAAAACAAGCTGGGCTCACCGGGGGCAGGTTTTATACCTCTGCAGTGTTTGCTTTGCTGCTGTTTGCTTTGCTGCTACGATAATAACTATAGGGCTGCCGTGTCAGATGGTGGATAATTGGGTGGGACGTGTCAGGACTTGTGCGTGTGGAAGCATGCTTCACTGGAAATCTCAGCAGGCGTATGTTCTTCCCCCTCTGCTTCTTTTCCAAGTTGTTTCGCAATGCAGCCTGTTCATCTGGTGTTAAGTATGCAACAGTTTCTAATTCTAGATAAGTGGAGGAAAAGAAAAAAAAAAAATCAGAAACAAAACAATGTCCACGTGAGAAGAGGAATGTTTTCTTTTCCGGGCCAGCTTAGGTCTCAGAGCACATTGCATCCTGTCCTCGCCCACTATTTTAGTGCATATGGAAATTGATTGAATTTGAAATTGCGATGGGGATTGAAACTTCTACAAAATGTCTCCCAGGATTGGCAATGCAGTTCAGATCACAAGAGTGCTATCCTTCCACTGCACTTCATAGGCGTCATTTTCTGTGGGCCTTTTTAAGACTGCAATTCAAAATCATAAATTTTTCTTTTGCTGTTAAAAACTTGGACATTTTACATGAGGGAAAATGTTATCTTATTAAAGAACAAATTCCACTGGGCAATGAAAATGACCACTTAAATTAAAAAATAGAAATAACACCCACCCACACTACATTGAACAAGCTGTGAATTTTTTCACAAATTACAAAAAAATAAATGTCAGGGAGAAAAAAACAAAACAGTTAAAGCATGGAGAATGCAGGATTGCCTGATCAAGGATCTCAACTCATTAAGTCTTCAGAAAAAAACCTTGAAGCCAGACAAAATTTTGTGAAATGCCAAATAGGAATACTCCATTGGGTTTCCATATGGTGATCTTTATTCCTCCTTTTCTACCATGTTTCATCCAATCTCCCTGTATAAAATCAGAATCTTTCCCATCTTCTTCTGATTGCTGTCGCTTTTTCCTCCCACCTTTTTCTTTCTGCCATCGAGTCATGGAGACAGAGGCACAGTCCCAGGAATGGTCCAGCTGGATCCCTTTCTCAGAGCTGCAGAAACAACCTGCATGCCCCAAGCCTCTGCCAGCGATTCTGCCCCTTGCTGCTCTCCTTCTGTTTTAGTTCCTTTTTTTTCTTCATCTCAAAGTTGCTCAGCTTTCCATTCCCCATTAAATATTTGGGTTTCCACTATGACCCACCTGAAGCCATTATGTCACCAAAAAGTTATGCCAAGTTCTGGAGGTGAGGTAACTCTTTCCAACACCTCAAAATTGGACGTATAAATACTCTTAGTATGGAGACCTGCATGACTAACGTGAAGAAATTTCTGTTTCTCAATAGGTAGAGCATGAAACTCGGTTGCAACAGAGGTGGCAATTAACCAAGAAAGCTCAAAGGAGGGGTGTTGTTTAGGCTTCATAAAGTCAATGCCTTCATAATGCACCAGGCAGGGGGAAAACAGAAGCTGGCACCCTCCATGCCAGGCAGTGCAACCCTCTCTTCCTTGTGAAATATTTTATTTTCCCCAATCCAGAAGAGATTTCATGAGTCTTTATTGGTAAATCAACTTTTAGTGCTGACTATTTGAGGGAATAGAAGAAAAAAAATGGGTTCTAGTCACAAGGCAATGCCATTCTGCAGCCCGTATGTTGCGCTGCAGAGGCAGCCCACATTCAGATTTATTTCATCCAACAGCATCCATTAACAGAAATAGCAGCTCAGCCAGGCACGGGGTTTTTTTTCCACCCCCCCTCCCTTGTAGTCTCATCCAAGCAAAACCTAAAATATCTCTTGTCTCCTGCAAGCTGCTGAGATTTTTGAGGTGGCAAGGCTGTATTTCTTAAAGGAGTTATTGCAGAATTTCTGACAGTCAGGATTTTCCATTAGCTGGTCCTGCACACTTCCATCAGGTCCCATATATCCCTCTGGTGTTAATGTTATCTTCATCCCTCACCAGTGCCAGGTGAGATAGATTGAGGAGAACCCATGGGGGCAGAAAGGGCACAGATGATGAGGACACCAGAGGGACCAAGGCAAAGAAGATATTATCACACTTTTAGAAGTATTTGGAAGCTAGGAACTTCAAGAAGATTTTTGAAAGAGCAACAGAGGATTTAACTGGGGGTGGAAAGACTTACTTGCCTTGACGCACTTGCTGAATGGAGAAGGAAGGGGAGTGTTTTGCTCATCTTGTTCTAAACCTAGTTGAAATTGTCATGTGAGAAGGGCAAATGTTTTCTTTATTTTGGTGAAAACATGAAATTTAAATATAACTGTAAATTCATATGTTTTTACTAAATGTGGATTTTCAATCCGGCCAAAAGCTGTGAGAATCATTGCAGAAATTATTGTGATTAACATATAGGAAAGGTGATGGGAAAAGTGGCTAAAAAGAAATGCCAAAAACCCCCAAGTTTCTGTTGGTCCCTCAGCACAGAAATGCTACTACCATTCTTCAGTTAGCCTATCTCATATTTAAATAAATGCCAGAACACCCTCCTTGACCAGGAATTAAATATTTACAGGATGACTAAATATAATCCCATCTTCACAGACTTCAGCCAGTGTTGCAGTTTCTTCCCATTGCACAGAAACACGTGCACCTTGCAGCTGGTGCTGAGCACTGGTGGAAGAGGACTCCCCTCAAATCCAGCTGGGCTGCAGATGGAAGGGCTTCTTTCCAGTTGCCCCTTCTATACAAATCCTCCTGAAATACACCACTATATTTGTAAACTGCTCAGCTGGGAATTATGCACCATCCAGCTCCAAGAATGCATATATTTGCCCATCTTAACTATAGCTCTGCTCCTCCAAAAGCTGCAAGGGACCTCCAGCCCATTTCCTCCATCCCCAAGCCTGGAAATGCAGCAAGCAACAGAGATCAAGCAGCCACCAGATCAGGTACCCATTGCCTCTCCCAGGCTCTTTCTGCCCATTTCCCCTGTCCCTGCAGGGAAGTCAGGAGCAGTCACTCAGCAGCATCTTCTCCAAGCAGTCATGGAGATCCCCGTTCCATGAGGACAGATTCCAGCAGCACCATCCTCATTGTGGACATCTCCAGCATCTAGGGGTGGGACCTTTATCTATTTTAAAACCTGAAACCACCCACCATGAGAACTTTGCAGCACAACCAGGAGTGCAACTGGTACCTGCCAAACCCCAAGTCTTGTGCGTTAGCAATTGCAAAACAGTTATCGCTGTTGCTTGCAATGGGAACAAGACAAACATCTTTGACCTTTGCAGGTCATTCATTAGTGCTGAATGATCAGGAGGAACATCTGGCTGTCTTGACCTGCTGGATGCAACTGAGTCAATTGAGAAAGGCAGCTAGGAGAAGACTCCCAGGTGCTAAAAAGAGAAATTCAGTGTGAAGTAGAGATTTGGACCACAGCCCTTTCTGGCACAGCTGTTTTCTCAGGCTTATCTTACTGTGGATATAGCAAACACACTCTAGAATAACATAAATCTTTATTTTGCCTGACGATTGTCACACATATGCTATCAAAAGAGCTTTCCTGGGGAAAACTAGTACAAAACAACAAAAGATACAGGGGAAAAAACAGGAGCTACACTGCCATGCCATTTTGTTGATGGAATCTGGAGCAATGTCTTAGAAACAACAGGGTAGCATAGACTCTGTTGGAGACGCTTGACAGAGGATGTTGGTTTCTCAGTTGGGGAATACCTTGTAGGTTCTTGATTACATCTTCTCCCACCCCTCATCACAGTCCTGCCCTGATGACACAGATCAAACTGGCCACAACTCCTAGGAACATCGCGGCATAGCTGATTTTTATGCTGTTGGCACCACTGAAGTTGCACAGGGAGGTGCTACAGCATTTAGTGGAATAAGCCGCCACACCAAAGTTCACATTCGCCTGAGGACAGTCTACAGAACACTTCTTAGTGATGCGGTGTCCCATGTCACTACCTGGGTGGAGAATAGACAAGAAAGGAGAACTGTGATTTAAGATTCTTCTGCAAGTCCTGACCAGCAGATGATAGGAGAAGGTACATTGCACTGTGCTTAGTTTGCAACGCAGCAATAACAGCGATCACAGAATCACACAATCATAGAACGGTTTGGGTTGGAAAGGGACCTTCAAGATCATCTGGTTCCAACCCCCCTGCCATGGGCAGGGACACCTTCCACTAGCCCAGGTTGCTCAAAGCCTCATCCAGCCTGGCCTTGAACCCCTCCAGGGATGGGGCATCCACAGCTTCTCTGGGCAACCTGTTCCAGTGTCTCACCACGCAATCAGTGGATTTGATGAGTGCTGGTTTAGTGTCCACACAGCCTGGAACAAATGCATGACACTAGAAGGTTATTGGTAGAAACCCACACCATGGTTCATGCAGGACAGCAGAACATCACTGCCAGTGCAATTTTTTGGTTTCTAAAACCACATTACTTACATTCAACCCCTTTCTATCATCCATCACAAAGCATGTGTGTGAGCTCTCAGATCAAGCAACATGTTATGCTCATGGAAGTCTGTTTGCTTCAGCCAGCCCTTCCACAATGTGGTGAGGAACATAGCCCAGATGATGGATCACAGCATACCACTGAGGGATTCACACATGTTATATGTTGTGATCCTTAAACCTCAGTGATTGACAACTGCTGCCCTCAAAAATCTCTTGCCCGTCAGTGTCTCTGGAGACAAAAGAAACAAAAGCTCCTTGATGTGTTGCTGGTACTCACCAAACCCAGCAGAGCTGTATGTGGTTGTACAGTATTTCTCATTGTCATCACACTTGTAGGTTTTCAGACAGTTCCAGTTGGAGTGCTCGTTCTCGCATATGTAGCAAAAAAGTGAGGAAGCTGGAAAGAGTTTTTATATTAGTGATTTCCAGCAACGCCCTCGAAGGAAGAAAGTGTCAAACCCATGTCCCTCCTTAGAAAATACAAGGTGAAAAGTATGTTATGAACAAGCTTTCGTGACAAGTGAAATAAGAAGTTGGTTTGGATTAATGAAGCTGAAAAAAACATTTTTTTATTTTATTTTATTTTTTTTATTTTATTTTGTTTATTAACAGAACCAAAATAAATTTCTTTCTTGAGATTTTCAGTGATTAAACCTGGAAACAGTTTTTTCAGCCTGAACAGCACTCTCAGGTGACCTTTCTTTCTCCCTTGAGTCCGCATTGTCCTGGTTGATAGCCAGCCTGCAAATGCCGAGCTCACAACGTGCCCAGCTGGGTCTAGTCTGGCTCTGGCAAGAACAAGATGAACTGGCACTGCTCTCAGATGAAAGCTTAGTTTTTAGTATTTTTCAAATCACATCTGCAAAATACCATACAGACATGCATTAATTAAAGCCTGTAACACCCCTGTGAGCTAAATTACAGAGCACAGAGCCACATTAAAGGGAGTTCCCTGGAAGAGGTTGCTCTGGACAATAGAGAGATTATTTCTACCAGCGCCTGGAACAACATATTCCCAGTGATATTATTAGTAGGGCTGAGCCAGGTCTATTACAAAGCCAGAAGGAGGTAAGATATGTATTTCTGAACAAAACTGAAGTAAATTGAGTCAAACATCCAGACTGGAAAACTGGCCATGTAGAAACACAAGCATGTGCCATCTCATTCCCTGGAGGTGGATTCACAACTGGTGGAAAATGTTGCCTTCCTGTTCAGAGTCCCATGAAATGCTCCTCATTTCTGACCAGGGGTGACAGTGGCAGTCAGGACAGCCTGCCACATTGCCACCAGTGATGGAGAGCTTGAAGGTCACCAAATTGCAAAACAGGGAGGGTTCTCTGTTAGGCTGAAATTTCCCTGTTTTATTTCCTCCTGGTTTTCTCAACCCAGGAAAGCTCTTATCTCTGCACAGAATAGCCTCCTTCAGTTTAATTTGAACCTTTTTTTAACATGGAAACTCCTCCCAGGGACTCTCCAAAGCCCAGCTGCTGTTGATTCAAATTAATCTTTGCTCATGACGCTTGGTTAGACAATTCTAGAAGCAGTTTTAAAAGAGAATTTAAAACCATTTTAGGCCATAATTATCCCAGGCAGAAGAAAAGGCTTCCCCTCTGTGATGTGGGGAGCTCAGGTGCTTTGGGTAAAGCTTTGGAGCCAGCTCTAGGTGCCTCAGTATGTATCTTGCTCTGAAACCTACCCAGATGCTCTTTTCTGGTGCCAGGTGTTGCGAGCGCAGGTGTTCTCCATAACAGCAGATAAAAATCATCCTTGTTGCATCCTGGTTTTAGCTTCTATTTAACTGACTATTCACCACTCGCTGTTTCTCCATCACTTGGATAAGTTAAGCCTCTCACCTCTCCTCTGGAGGTCCCCCCACCAAGCTGTCCTTTTGCAGAACCATGCCAGAGCAATCCCAGATGCTCTGCCTAGCAAGCATTATTGCATTTTACAGCCCCTGTAGCTCTCTCTGATCTGCTTTTCTGCCAAATCTCGCAAAGTTGTTCAAACCATTTCCTGCTGCAGATGGAGCCGAGACCCCAGCATGTGCGCGAAAGCAACTGATATGCACTTGTGTTCACTGGCTGATGCAAGGAAAATCCCTCCCAGTCAGGAAAGAATAACAGCTGAAACCATTATGGCTGTTATAAAGCCTTGCCTACATCTGGCTTCCATTGTCCATTAGCTCTAGTTCTGCAAATGCAGCCGGAAATAGCCTTAATGGTGTAAAAAGGTTTGCAGTACTCCTCGGGATTGCAAAGACAGGCACAGAGCCAACGTTTCTCAACTGGATATTTGTACGCAATTATCTAGTTATATCTGTGCCTCCTTTTGAAAGAGGACAAGCACAGAGCATCGTGGATCCCATTACAAACACACTCACTCCCAGACACTTAAAAAAGCTCTTCAAACCTATGAGCAAAAATCTTTTAGGTTTTCAATTATCTGCCAGTAACCTGGCTTCTTAATTGTAATGTCATTCTGGGAAATAAGGTGAAATGCTGTCAGAATATATGGTGTCAATGCCAGCTGCATTACCTTTTGTCAACAACTCCTCAAGTTTCATTCGGGAACAAAAATAAAACCAAAGACAAAACTCTGAGCCCAGCTTAATTCCTATTAGCATTTTTTCAGTTCACATGTCTGTCTTCAGATATGAGTGGTTGAAGCTTGATACTTGAGAGCGTGAGAAATCCGAGTGGTGAGCTCATCTTCTTTGGGTTCTGGGTACCTTGGGAGAACTCACCCAGAAGCTAAGACTCAACCACATTCGATATTGCTTGACGCAACTGATGGCAAAGAAAAACTGCATTACCAAGACCTCACCAAAGCTGTCAAACCTTCTTGTCCCTGAGTAATCTCTAATTTCTCTTCTAGTATTTTCATCCTCTCCATCTGGCTCTCCCAACCTCCAAAGGTCCTTACCTTGCTTGGCACACAGGACGGCCACCAGCAGGACAATCAGAAAAGCCTTCATGGTCGTTGTGCCCTCAGAGCCTGAATAACATGGGATGGTGCACCATGGCAAGGTTTTTATACTGGGGCTGTGTTTACTTTGACTTCAAGTTAATTTGAGGTTTAGGGAATGACAGCACATCAGATGTGGTCAGGGATGGGTGTGTTTCTGCGTAGGAACCTGTTACTAGGCTCCAGGTAGCAATTTTTTTTTTTACATCTCATTCAGAACCAGTCTTTTTTTTCCAAGGCCTGCACCTGCTGACCATGCCTGCATTGCTAATTTGGGCAACCATTTATCTGATTCAAATGTGTGAGTCCCTTCTAATTGCATTGGGCTGAACCACGAAACCTGGAGCAAAGCAGAGGCAGCTGTGCCAGTCTGGGGTGGCTCATCGCTTGCAAGAGCATCACCCGGCATCCTCCATCCTTTCTCTCTGCCATGATATGAGAGCTTCGTATCTGTGGGAAGTGGGAGAGGAGGCAAAAAAGAAGATTTTTTCACCGGGTTGTCCACAGTCATTCAGAATTATCTTACTTCTACTAAAGAAAGTGCTTTAAGCAGAAAACCAGCTTGTATCATTCCTGCAATGACATTATTCGTGCTTGGAGACTGTCCCTCAGAGGCTCCCATGGCCCAGACAGGGATAGGGACTGATGCTTTTGTTTTGCTCTGCTTCTCCATCCTCCAGAAACATTCAGGGTTTCCAAGTGACAGTGTTTGTTGATACCTGTAGACCAACACTAGACTCCATCAGGTTTTTCCAGTCCCTCATGACCTTTCGAGTCCTTCTGGGCACCCTCCTTCTGCTCCTACAACCACTTCATCACCTCTTGCCAAGTGACTCAGGGTGCAGCAGAGGCACCAAGTGCATGGGAACGGCTGCAGGAGTTTGAATGGGAGTGAAAATATCTGTGAAATAAAACAAGTCCTGGTCAAGAAGACATCTCAACAGACCAGGACCCTTTGCCTTTAGAGAGAGAAATGTCCAAGGAGAGCTCGGGTTTGTAAGGTCACAAATGGTGTGGAAACAGAATAAAGAACATCCAGTTGCTCTTTGTTTTTGCCCAAATTACTCTGCAAGGCGTTGGTTCATAGGCTGTTCCTCTGATCATCTCTCTGCAAGATCCCGGGCAGATGACCCAATGCCCAACCCCTATGATGAATCTTTTTCTTCTAGTCATTCTTCCTTTGCCCAGTTGCTCCTTCTCTACAGCAGCTTGATCCCCCAACAGTTTCTGTTTCTGTGCCCAGAGAGGGGCAGAACATAAGTTTTCAAGTCTTCCACTCTGTTCTCTGGATTTGCCCAGACCTTGAGCATGAATCTTTAATTATCTCCTCTTTTAGAGAGGATGTGAAAGAGCCATGTGACAGCTAATGTAGCAGCTATACTTCAGAAATAACCTGTGAAAAAGCCACTCTCTGAACAAGACTTTGTGTAAATACCTGCATGAATTACATCAGTCAGGAAACACGATCTGCTAGAGCATGGGGGGAAATAGTAGGTATTAGTCCACATGTTTGTTTTACACACAAATAGCCAGGCTTCTCTTAGCCAGCTGGAGAAATGGAAAGTAAAACTTCCTTCGCTTCCATCCACATCAAAAATCCAGAAGCGGAACTGAATTATCGCACTGAATTCAGCTCATGTTGGAGCCAAGCGAGCAGAAAAAATGCAGCAACTC